TGTCCCTAAATGTTTGAGAAAACATGGGATTTTCCACAATGGCTCAGCCTATCTACTTTGGGATCGTGCCTTTGGCAGTATGCACTGTACATGATGCAGTATTGCCAAATCATGAGTCTCATGCTATGTGATGTAAACCCCAGCTCCTGGATTCATGAGAATACTTGAAAAACTCTTAGCTTTCACTTTTAACAGAAAAGTAAATGTCTAGTTGTCATGGCTGTGGAGAAAAGCTTGAAAATGCCAACTGAGTGAAACCTAAAGGCCCAGGAACCAAAAAGGCAAAGGATCCAAAATGTATTTCAAAAAACTAAACCCACCATGATTTATAGCCAATTGCATGATTTGGGGGCCTGGACTCCTGATTTTTGAATGCTTGGGATTAGCAATATTGCAGTTCCAGAATTAGGTGAACCCCATTTCCTTCCTTCCCTCACCCACTGCACTTAGCATGTAAATGGTTTTAGATCAACGTAATATAAGGGGATAAAGAAGTCGGGATCCTTCCTGATCCCCACTGGGTTCTCATTTTCAAGTCTCTCAGTAGTCACAGAGCACATCTCCACTTACAACCTGCCTAGATAACTGTTTATCAGAGATATAAGATAATGGATTTCCTATGTGACCAACAAGGAGCTATCCACATTTTTGCGGAAGGTCAAAAGTTACCCCTTGCTTCCCAGGGCTTGGCTTTTATTAGCACAAGTAACTCGAACTAAATATAAAATTGTAGTTCATGCCATAGGGTTCCTACTTTAAACACAAAAAGAAAAGGAATACTTATGGCACCTTAGAGACTAACAAATTTATTTGAGCATAAGCTTATAGCTCACAAAAGCTTATGCTCAAATAAATTTGTTAATCTCTAAGGTGCCACAAGTATTCCTTTTTCTTTTTGTGACTGCAGACTAACATGGCTGCTACTCTGAAACTTTAAACACACACACTCTCCCAGCTTTCTGAAGCATCAGATTTGATTAACTTCATGATTATCCTAACAAAGCAAAGCTCTGAATATTTTAAATGGCCATAACATTTTTCAGTATATTTTTAAATCCTGCCACAGCAGGGCATTCAAAATGTGATTATTAAGTTTGTCAAAATAAAACAAATTAGAAATCTGAAACCCTTACTTTTTAAAATAATGTCCTACATAACCATTTTAGTACACTTTTCATGAGATTTCACCGTCAACAGAATAGCATTGTGAGGTTAAAAGTGTTGGTGAGTTCAGTGCTATGAATGCACTAAACTCATTTATGTATGTCCTTGGAACAAGCATGACTGTCTCAAGGGCACAGTACATTTCTTTTCTGGAACTAAAGTTCTTTTACCCTTTCTCTTTGGTTTTAATCTCTCTAGAACAGAGGTTCTCAAACTGTGGTCCATGAGCTCCATTCAGGTGGTCCGTGGATAGTTCCCTCTAACGTGCATGCCTGGGCAGCTGTACATGAGAGACTGAAGAGCCACCCACCTAATTAGTGGAGCCATAGTGGCATGGCTCCACTAATTAGGTGCCTGGACCCTGGAGAAGATGCACATGTAAGGTGAGGTGGTGGCCTTGGGGGGAAATAGAGGGTAGGTGGGAGGGGGCAGTGGAGTGAGAAGAGAGGGTGGGGGTAATTTGGGATGTGCAGGGCCACGGCGGCCAGAGAGAGAGGCAGATTTCTCCAGCTCCAGGGCTGCAGCTGCCAGGGAGAGACCCCCCTCCTTCCCAGCCCAGCTCGGGGGCTACCGTGGCAGGGGAGAGAGAGGGCCATCACATTAGAAAGGTAAGACTACTGATATTAAAATATGAGTTGAGTGCTTTTACTTGTAGAACAAAAAAAAAACTTTAACAATTATTAAGGTTTTTTTTGTATATTGCTTTTATCCAAACTGCTTTACAATAGTTAGCTAACAGTACAAACAATATTTGGAAAGATCATTATGTGGTCTGCCGTGACCTGCAGCAATTTTCAAGTGGTCCATGAAAAGATAAATTTGAGAAACACTCCTGGCCTAGAATAATGATCTGCACACACCATCTAGTGGTGCCAGGAAGGATTACACTTTACAATAGTGATAATTTTCATGGTTTATGGAAAGGCAGCTATTCAGGAAAAAACATGAAGGTCAATTCCGTCTCTGGAAAAAGAGATGTTTTACAAAGCGCTAAATAGGTGGCTATGAGCCAGATTTTCAGATGGCCATAAATTGGCATTGTTCCATTGATTGCAATGGAGCTACAGTAATTCATGCTGGCTAAAAATCCAGGCCAGTAACTGTTGATCTTTGCAAGCGGATGGATGAACACTGCTTAGGGCCCAGCTGGCAGATGGTAAAACCCAGCCAAAGGAATCAGATACCCCTGTAGAAATTGCTTTGAGATGCAAAGGAAAAGTCATGTGAAGCTCAGACAATCTCCAAAAAACAGCAGCAAAGTTAATTGGACAAAAGGATTTAATTGTATTTAGTAGATATTAGTCAATAAACAGTTTCAGAATCAGAGTTCCAAATACCATAATATAGGTCTGGAAATCTGGGTTCCCATCATCAAAAACTGAGTTTCCAGGTCCAATATCTAGGTTGCCACAACCAGGTTATGAATGCAGAATTCTGAATGCCGAGTTTTCAAAGCAGAGTTCCAAGATACAAAAATTGAGATGTCAAATCTGCAGTGAAAGTGTCCTTAAAACAAACATGTGCTGGATCATCATCCGAGACGGCTATAATATGAAATGTGTGGCAGAATGTGGGTAAAACAGAGCAGGGGGACATACAATCCTCCCCCAAGGAGTTCAGTCACAAAGTTAATTAACGCATTATTTTTTCAGCAAGCATCATGAGTGTGGAAGCATGTCCTCTGGAATGGTGGCCAAAACATGAAGGAGCATACGAATGTTTAGCATATCTGGCACATAAATACCTTGCAAGGCCAGTTACAAATGTGCCATGCGAACGCTTGTTCTCACTTTCAGATGACATTGTAAATAAGAAGCAGGCAGCATTATCTCCCATACATGTAAACTAATTTGTTTTCTTAGCAATTGGCTGAATAAGAAGTAGGACTGAGTGGTCTTGTAGGCTCTAAAGTTTTACATTGCTTTGAGTGCAGTTATGTAACCAAAAAAAATAAAAATCTACATTTTTATTATAAAACTTATAAAAATTTGTAGGTTCAATTTTCATTATAAAGAGATTGCACTACAGTACTTGTATGAGGTGAATTGAAAAATATTTCTTTTGTTTATCATTTTACAGTACAAATATTTGTAATAAAAATAATATAAAGTGAGCACTGTACACTTTGTATTCTGTATTGTAATTGAAATCAATATATTTGAAAATGTAAAAAACATCCAAAAATGTTTAAGTAAATGGTATTGTTTAACAGCACGATTTATTTTTTTAATTGCTTGACAGCCCTAGTAAATACACATTCCTTTATCTAGGACAGGCTGAAGACATTTTAAAAACGTATTTCAAGCACACATCTATAACTGTTTGTACACCATACGTACATACATCATACAATGATTTTTGGGATCAGTGTGTCACCAGTTTATCTATGATACTTTACATGATGCCTTTGAGACACATATTATGATAACAGTGTATTGTGGCAATGAGTGTGTCAGGCCTGATGGGAGTTACAGTATGGGGAGCCCTCTGCCAGTTGGCACTGGGGTCTCCGAAGGTCAAAGTGGCGCAGTAGGAGGAAGGGGGTTTTCCGCAGGGGGAAGACAGACCATTTGGGACTTGCTGCTCTCTTCAGTCCAATACTGTCCCTTAATGGCCTCCCCAAGCACAAAGAAATTGACCAGTCCCTGTATGTTAAGAATAACACCACCACAGCATTTATAGTAGATCTGTGACACTCTGGTGTGTTGGTAAGACACTGGGACTTCGTTTTCTGGCCTCAGTCACTTGTTCTGGGTCTGGCATTACAAAGGTTAATGCCCCTGTCATAAGTTGGGTCAGTACCTGCTGTCTCCAGTGATTTAAAATTGAACTCGTTGAGCTGCAGGCTTCAGCTCACTGACGACATGGAATATGTGGGTGTATATGCATTTCCGAGTGGAAGATGCCTTTTTGATCGCCGAGCTACCTCCCACATACTTGTATCTGCTGCTCAATCCTCTATATAAGAGCTAAGTAGCAGTAATATTAAACGATGCTGCCTGTAGGCTTGGCCAATATTTACATGTGGCGTTTCCTAAGCATTAATAAAAGTTAAGCGCCATTAAGGAAATTCATAGGAGTGCTTTGTGACAGGGCAAAGGGTCCAATCAGAGGTGCAACTGCAGTATGCGTGGCTCTACCATAGAGAGTTTGAATCGAACTAGCTCAAGGAGCAATAGTAGCGAAGCCAAGCCACTCAAGTACATGCTTGCACTTACTGGTAGGCTCGTACTTGAGCAGCTAAGCCATGCTGCAGCCCAAGCTGCCACAGCTTCGCTGCTCTGGGTCCCTGTGCTAACCAGATCAAAGCTAGCTTGGGTATCTCTACACAATCCTCGGTCACAGCTCCGATTGCAATGTAGATTTGCCCAAAGTCTCAACACCACTTTTTCTTGTATATAACTATTCTTCCCCTCTCCGCCCAGGAAATTTAATAAAGACAGCTGGTCAAACAGGCCTGTATACGGATAGATCATGTTTATGTAAACCTAGGCCTCTGCATTCCTGAACAACTAGCTTCTCTAGTTGGCTATACCAGCCTGTCTTTTCCCTTGTAGTCCCTCTGTTCCACATTCAGCCTGCCAGAGTATGACCCACAGCGATAGTTGGCAGAACAAATAAGGAAATGAGCCAAATTCATCCTAGTGTAATTGTCTTATCATCAATGGGATTATACCAGGGCTGAATTTGGCTCCGTACACAAATACAGCAATTAGATTAGTCAGTAATATTTGTGTTAGACATAGCCTGTTATTTTTCATTACTGTTATTTAAAAAGATACAGCAACTAGCAGAGTGGAGCAGAGCAGCCTTACAACAGCAGCCCCGAGAGCACAATGAGCAAACAGGAAGCAAGCAGGGAATGTATCCTGTTGGTTGGAGGAAGGTCAGTACTAGAACAGGCAGGGTCACAGTAGGTCATCTGTGCACAAAGCAGTGATGAAGGAAGCTGTTTAGTCATAGCTGTGTCTTTGAGGGTCCTAAGCAGAAGGGTGAGGAACAGGATACAGTGACTCAGGAAAACGGTCTCTCGAAGGAGCTGGTTTTCCAGCTGTCGGGATGTCACGGGAAAGACGAGAAACTCACAGCGTGTTTTTATCAGGTGAGTTTCGTTCTTGTGGAGATACATGGCTTGATTCTCCTCTCATGCTGGGGGAAAATCAGGAGTAACTCTGGGCATCAGTGGAGCTCTGCCAGTGTCTAACTGGGACAGAGAGGGCAATCAGGCCCTCCATCCCTCATTAATACAGTGGGCTTAATTGTGGCTGTTAACACCCCAGCACTGGGAAGGGTGGCTTTGTGTGGGGAAGGCTGCGCACTGCACCAAGGCAGGCTCCAAAGGCATTCTGCCGGTTTCAGTCCGGAGACAGGAACAGTGCCTCTAAGATCAGGAACAGCTCAGTAGCAACGGCGATAGTCTTTGAAAAGGTGCAACATTTGTTCCTCTCTGTGCCGCTGTGTTAGGTCTCAGAGTAGCAGCCGTGTTCGTCTGTATTCGCAAAAAGAAAAGGAAGACTTGTGGCACCTTAGAGACTAACCAATTTATTTGAGCATAAGCTTTCGTAGCTCACAAAAGCTTATGCTCAAATAAATTGGTTAGTCTGTAAGGTGCCACAAGTCCTCCTTTTCTTTTTGTGTTAGGTCAGACATCTGGGGTGAAATCCCAGCCCCAACACAGTCAATAGGATTTCTGCCACTGACTTCAGTGGGGCCAGAAGTACACACCTCTAGTGTGGGAAAGGGTGGGCACCCAAACCTTTTAGGGAACCTAGAGTTGCTAGTGCTACCATTATATAAAACTTTCTCCTACTCTGCCCCTTCCACTCCAGGGCCAAATTCCACCCGGGGATCATTTGTACTGAGATACAAGAGCACCCTTATTTTAAGGCTTTGGCCCACATTTGTAAGATCTCTGGGGCCTACTGCCCTGTGTTTGTAGAATGCCTAGCACAATAGGGCCCTGATCTTGGTGGCCCTTAGGCACTAACATAATAAATGTGATTAATGATGATTTGAGTAGTGGTAGGCTGAGAAATATTGTGCAGTTCACATCCTGGAACCCCAATCTATATGGCTGTTTTTGTATTTTGCTTGTAGAAAATCACTGCTAGCAAGCTCTAATGAATGGCTTTCCCCTTTCTCCCCCTCCAGGGGTCTGGATTTTGGCTGTTTCAGTCACTATGGCAGTACAGGAAAAAAACCCTCTTGTTCCATGTCTCCCAGGACCCCAAGGTCCTCCTGGGAACAATGGAATTCCTGGTCATAATGGGCACAATGGGCTCAATGGGGAGAAAGGGGAGAAGGGACTCAGAGGGGAACCAGGTAAGTCACATTTGAGTGAGTCATTTAATCCAATACCAACTTCCGATAGCACTGTTTCACCAGTTTTCTCATTCAGAATTCAATACATTGCATATTTGGAACAACCAGAATCATTTCATAGCAACAGTTATTTAGTGATAGAATTATGATCCTAACATCAGAGATTTGCCCTTTCTGAAGGTAAGAATATGGTATGTATTTACATTAGACACCAGATGTTCTGCTGAGAAATGCAGTAAGAGACATTTGGATAACAACAGTTAGGAATGATTTCATCATGGAGAGACTTTGCAGTGAAATACAAAATCCTGAACTGGGTTTTTGGCAAGTAAAAAATAAAACAAAACTTACCTCTCAATCCACCTTAATGGCCTTCCCAGGGAGTGAAAATGTTTGACTGACTCACTCTCCTGGTGCTTTATTCCTAATGCTCTGGGTTAGACTTAGTGTTTAGGCTCATGAAGCATTCTCAGGTGGTGGTGGTGGGGGCGTTGAGTGCCCACACATACATGTTTCAGGCAGTTCTGAGGAGGGAAGGGGGCATATCAAGGATGGAGCCAGGGTATTGCTGTCCCCCAGTGATTCCCCCCTTTTGCAATGCCGTAGGAGCTTTATGGGGGCACAAGACAGGGAACAGAACTCACTGAGGGTGAAATTTCCCCTGTGAAACTTTTCTTCAAGTTTACAATTTTGTTTCCTCCCCTCCCCCCAAAAAATAAATAATTTGTTTTGTTGTTGAAAGTTTGTTTTGTCAAAAAAAAATTCTGTTGGGGGAGAAAAAAAATGGATTATTTTTTGACCAGCTCTATTAGGGAAGCTCGAGCTAAATTAAACTGCTCGGGGGATTAGGGGCGGGGGGTCAGCAATCCAGCCCCCAGCAGTTCCAGCATAGGGGATCTGCAAAACACTTCCCCTCTGACCCTGCCTTACATCCAGCACTGAATGAATTCCATTGTTTTAGGATAAATGATCACCTCCTTGCTCTGAGACCCCAGAGAGGGGACAACATCCACCCACAGAAGTGTTAAAGACAGAGCTCTACTCACTCTTCATCCACATACACAGGTGTAGACATACATCCCACCTGAGAATGCTTCATGAGCCTAAACACGTAGGCACACTCCAGGGCATTAGGAATAAACCACAAAGAGTGTGTGTCAGTCAAACATTTTCACTCCCAAGGACAATAATTAGGAGTAGCGTGTTTTTTCTGGAGTTAAAGCTGAGGCTGTTTTACTTTGAACAGAGTTTTTGAGTATGGTATGAGTATTTCTCTTACTTTAGGGAGTTTGCAATGCTTTAAATTGTAGTTTAATCCCACCCTGTTGGGCAGTGTCTCTAACTAACCCTCTGCAGGCATTGTCAACAAAGAAGTTTTTGGGGATTTTAAATGAGTCACATTAGAGCAGGATGAGAACAAATGGAAAAGTATCTGCTTCTAGCTCATTCTTTTTTAATCTTTTTCAGGTTCCACAGGAATGCGTGGGCCACAGGGCCCTCCAGGAAAACTAGGTCCAATGGGACCAAAGGGCGAAAGTGGACAACCAGGTCCCACCGGCCCACAAGGAAGCCCAGGAGAATGCTCACCACGTCAGAAATCTGCTTTTGCAATGCAACTTGCCAAAAACTATCCAGCTCCTAAACAACCAATTATATTTCATGAAATCTTATACAATGATCAGCAACATTTTGATAAGGCCACTGGAATTTTCACTTGTCAAATACCTGGAGTTTATTACTTTGGCTACAATGTAGAGTTGTACCGGAACACCACGACCATTCAGCTAATGAAAAACAGCCAAGCGGTGATAGGATCATATCAGACCACCCTAAACTCTTATGAAAATATGTCAGGAAGTACAGTCCTTAAGCTGGAGAAGGGTGACAAGGTCTGGTTAGAAGTGAAACAGGAAAGTAATGGAGCGACACACACAAGCTACTTTTTAGGTTACCTGATATTTGAAATTTAGACTTCTGAAAAACTTCTGAATTAGCCTCACCATTGTGTCAGAAATTAAGAGATGAGGAAAGTATACCTGAGGGTGAGGGAGGCAGGAGGTTTTGTCAGAGTCTGATCCCATATTATAGCAGCATCTGTTATTATGGTAGCACCGTCTACTATTATGGTGGCCCTACACTTCCCATTATAAGACACAGTTTTTGTTGTTTATAACTTTTCCAAACTTTAATGGTTTGAGCTGAAAAATTCCATGCCAGGTGTCTGACTGTCCCTGAATGTTTTTGGAAAATGTCAGGCAAAACACTTTAGCTGATTCTGAGAATGAGTATAAGGGGAAATACATTTTGCCTGTGTTAAAAAACTCTGGTGACTTTTTCTCTGAGAAGCTCTAATGCCCCTCTACTTTGGAGCAAGGTCTTGATATTTGGCAAGAGAATGGCTTTTGTGTCTGGGATGTTCCTGTTGGCATTACTTTGAAAATCTGCCCAAATTTAGCCGCATTATAAGACTTTGAAAATGTGCAGTTCACACATGCTCAGTAGACACTTCCTAGAACTCCACAGCTAAATTCCCAAAAGATTCCATCTGTGACGTGGCACTCCATATGCTTTATAAAAATATGTTTGTAAGTGTGAATATAATGTAACTGAAATATGCTTTATGCAAAAGGTCTCTTGTAAGGTATAATTTCAGAGCTTATAATCTACTGAGTGTGTCCATCCTATTTGTATGAATGTATCATTCTTGTATCTGAAACTAGGAATATGAAGTATAACTCTGAGGTTCTATTGTAATTATGCGAAGTGTGGGCCATTAATGGTGGTTTAGAATCTTGACGGCTCCCATTGACTAGGATGATTGGTTGTAAATGGTTTATTTTCCTGCAAGCCTTCCGCTATATGTGCGGACCAGCCCTGGAAGAATGGAGGGGGTCTCACAGGACATGCAAACATGGCACCTGATACTGGAATCCATCTTAAACCCGGTGCTTTTCCATTTAGAAGGAGGGGTGGGAACCCAGAGAGACAAAATATTCCCGCCTTATGCCAAGGATATAAAAGGTGGTGGAACAGAACAAGAGGCTCCCAGTCATGAGAAAGCCCTTGCCTTTCACTCAAGATGCCTGCTGAAACTAACAAGGACTGTACTGGGGAAAGGATTGGGCCCAGACTAGGAAGGAGTCTAGTCTGTGAAAGAAGCTTATTGGAACATCTCTAAGGGTGAGATTTACCTGTAATCAGTTTCTTAATGTATTAGGCTTAGACTTGTGTGTTTTTGCTTTATTTTGCTTGGTGACTTACTTTGTTCTGTCTGTTATTACTTTGAACCACTTAAATCCTACTTTTTATACTTAATAAAATCACTTTTGTTTATTAGTAAACCCAGAATAAGTGATTAATACCTGGGGGAGCAAACAGCTGTGCAACAACTCTCTATCAGTGTTATAGAGGGTGGACAATTTACTCTGTATAAGCTTTATACAGAGTAAAACAGATTTATTTGGGGTTTGGATCCCATTGGGAGCTGGATGTCTGGGTGCTGGAGATAGGTAAACTGCTGAGTGGTTTTTAGTTAAAACCTGCAGCTTTGGAGGCCCTGGGTCTATGTTGCAGCAGGCTTGCATGTCTGGCTCAACAAGACAGGGTTCTGGAGTCCCAAGCTGGCAGGGAAAACTGGCTCAGAGGTAATCTCAGCACGTCAGGTGAAAGTCCCAAGGGGGTCTCTGTGACCGAACCCATCACACCATCCACACTGAACAAGACTTTTCTGACAATTGCAGTTCCCAGCTGCTGTGGACTGGATCCTGGAAATTGACAGCAGGCACCCTGTTCCTCTCCTGATCTCTCAATGCCACCTCATTGACATCCACACAATGTGGAGGAGGAAGCTGACTGACATGAAGGCAGAGGGGACAAGAGCTGGAACTCAGGGTTGGGACAGAGGAAAGTAGATTTGGGCAAGGAACATAAGGGAAAGGCTGGGACTGGAGGCTAGCGGGGCAGGAGGGAGGGCAAGAGGGAAACTGGGACTGGGTGTTGTGAGGGAGACTGGGAACCGGGAAAGAAATGAGGTGGGAACCAAGAGCCGATGAGGACCACAAAAGGCGACATTGGGAGTGGGAACCAGTAAGGCAGGGAAAGGAACTGGGAGGGAGACATATCTGATGAGAAGCAAAGGTAGGGGAGGAGAACTGGGACTGGCCGAGCAAAGATACTGGGAAGAGGAGCTGTTGGGGGGGGGGGTGCGGGGCTGGTCCCATTGAGATTGAATGAACAGCTCTGGGAGGGAGACTGGGAGCCAGTGGGGATGGGGAACATGGGCATGGGCGGGGGGATTACTGTAAACTGTAGGGGAGTGGAGAGAGAGAGAGAGATTGGTTGAGATGTTAGGAGGATGAGATTGGGTCTGGCTGAGCAAGGAAACTGGGGACAAAGAGCCAGATAATGTGAGAAATGGGACTGGATGGGCAAAGAGAATAGGATTTAGAATTGTGGGCAGAAACTAGGATGGGGACTCAGGAGGGGAAAACTGGGACTGGCTGGGCAAGGAAACTGGGACTGGGACAAGTTGGAGGAGAAGGAGCAGAAAAGGTCAAATGGGCAGAAGAGTCTATGCGCACTACAGCACACTCCCACCAAAGGATGGAATGGAACCAAAGACTTCTGCCTCTCACCATTCCTCTGCTTTCAGCAAATGTATGTGAATCCCTCTGGCAAAGTGTCTCATCTTCCTTTAGTGTTGGTCCACATAAAGGGTAATCACCTGCTATTACTATCAGTTACTCCGTTAGCTCAAGTGGCAGAGCTCCGTGTGGTGGAGCTAAAGGGTCCACCCTGAGGGTATCAATATGTTGCCACATGGTAGAACTTCTGTTTTTTCAGTGTTCCTTTTTAAAAACATAGGAAATTACATACAACAAATTACACGATAGGTTTGCAAAGTCAAGCACTCAAAAGTCAGGGAATGCCAGGATGATGGTTGCCTCTGCAACATTAATTTGGACCCGTTGTGTGCATACATGCATTATAACACAGTCCTGAATTACATGATCACATATTATTTTTTCCACAGGACCCTTGCCTCATTCAGTGCACAGGATGGGCAGTGTTGTGGGGATGAAACAGGGTTGTGAACTGAACAAAGCTGTAGGACCTTTGCCTCAGTTGTTGCAGAAGTAGGAAGGTGTGTAGTGCATGAGGCAGAGGCTTGCAGGAAGAGAAAGGTGTTCACTATGTTTTTCCTCATTATCTGGGTGCCTGACATAACATCCCAGGGCCTGGTTTGCAGAACTGCTGATCACTTACAGCTGCAACTGAAGTCAGTGGGAGCTTTGCATTGAACACATACGCACTGAAAATATATTGTATATTAAGTGCTATGTATTGCTAAGTATTTTGAAAAATCAGCTTCTAGATGTCTCAAATTGGGCATCTACAATTAGTGGACACATGTGAACTTAAACTCTCTGTGCCTCAGTTCCCCCATCTATAAAATGGGGATAAGAATTTCTCACCTCACAGGGGTGGTGTGAAAATAAATTCATTAATGTTTGTGAAGCCCGTAGATACCATTGTGGTGGGCATCATAGAAAAGCCTATGAGGAAATTAATAATTCTGTTTTCAGAGCTGGGTTTGAACAGAATGCAGTAAATAACGCTTAGGGCCATACCCTGGACAACACAGAGAAAACGAAATATTGAATAGCTGTTCATTAAAGTCAAATCTACACTACAAATTTCCATAGGTGCAGCTGCACCGATGCAGCTGTAGCATGGCTGGTGAAGTTGCTCTAGCCAATGGGAGAGAGCTCTCCCATCGTCTTCATAACTTCACCTCCATGAGAGGCAGCAGTTATAATGGCAACAGAAGCTCTCCTGCCAACATAGGGGGTTAAAGTCGATATAACGACATTTCTCAGAGAGGTGGATTTTTCACACCCCTGAGACGGATAAGCAACATTCCCCAGCTGCAGAAAAAAGAACTGGGAAGACCTGAGGTGGGGGAATAAGAGCTGGTTGCTGGAAAGAGTCAGGGCTCTCACCTGGCGTCTGACCAAAGAATCAGATGGGGAGAAAGACAGAGCTTGACCCAAGGGGCTCCCCTGGCAAGGGTTAAGGTTACTAAGGGCAGCAAGGGTTAGGTTTACAAAGTATAGAATCCCTGGGCCATGGTTCTCATGGGGGTCTGAAAGGCTCCTCAATTCATAGATTCATAGATATTAAGGTCAGATGGGACTGTTATGATCATCTAGTCTGACCTCCTGCACAATGCAGGCCACCGAATCTCACCCACACACTCCTCAAGCTAGGGTTAGGTTTATAAATAATCAGGCTTCCCAGGCTAGGGTGAGAGTTACTAATGGTAGGGCTTCCTGGGTAACCTAGGGGAGGGCTCCGCTGGATAAGGCTAGGCTTACCAAAGGTTAGGGCTCCCTGGGCTAGGGTAATGTCTGGGGTCAATAGATCTCCCTGGGCTAGGGTTACCAAGTGTACAGCTCCCCAAGCTAGGGTTATGCTTGGGGGCCAATATGGCTCCCTTGGCTCGGGTTAGGGTAACATTTTGGGAAAGTAGAGCTCCGCAGCCTAGGGCTAGTGTGACCAGGTGCTAGAGCTCCCCAGGGTAGGGCTCCTCTGGCTAGGGTTACCAGGGTAGGGCTCGGGCTCCCCAGACTGGGGCTAGGGTTACCGGGGTAGGGCTCGGGCTCCCCAGACTGGGGCTAGGGTTACCAGGGGTAGGGCTCGGGCTCCCTAGACTGGGACTAGGGTTGGGGTCAGTAGGGCTCCGCAGGCTAGGGCTAAGGTGACCCAGTGCTAGAGCTCCCCAAGGTAGGGGTCCCTAGGCTTGGGTTCCCCAGACTGGGGCTAGGGCTACCAGGGGTAGGGCTCCCTGGGCTAGGGTTAGTGTTAGTGTTACCAAGGGTCGTTCTCCCTTGCCTAGGGTTAGGCTTTCCAATGGTATGGCTCCCAGGTCTATGGCTAGGCTTTCCCAAGCCAGGGCTTCCAGGCCTAGGATTACACTTGGGGTCTCTAGGGCTCCCTTGGCTAGGGATGAGTTACCAAAGGTCAGGCTCCCCAGGTTAGGCTTAAGGTTACCAGTGGTCTGGCTCCTTGGGCTAGGGATGGGATTCCCAAGGGTAGGGCTCCCCAGTCTTGAGTTAGGGCACCAAAGTGTAGAGCTCTATGGGCTTGGGTTATGCATGGGGTCAATAGGGCTCCCCAGCCTTGGGCTAGGGAGACCCAGTGTTAGGGTTCCCCAGGATAGAGCTGTCTAGGCTCAGGCTACACTTAGCAAGGGCAGGACTCCCCAGTCTAGGGTTACAATTGGGGTCAGTAGGGCTTCCCAGCCTAGGGCTGGGTGACCCAGCCTAGGGCTAGGGCAACCCAGTTCTAGGACTCTCCAGGGTAGGGGTCTCTGGGCTTGGGGTAGAGTTACCAGGGATAGACTCTCCAGGCTAGGATTACCAGGGATAGGGTTACCAAGGGTTGGGTTCCCAGGGATAGGGTCAGGGTTACCAAGGGTTGTTCTCCCTTACCTGGGGTTAGGCTTTCCAAGGGTAGTGCTCCCCAGCTTTGGGGTAGGCTTTTCAAGGGTGGGGTTCCCAGAGCTAGGATTACACTTTGGGTCTGTAGGGCTCCCTTGGCTAGGGATGAGTTACCAAGGATTGGGCTCCCCAGGCTATGGTTAAGGTTACCAAGAGTCAGGCTCTCTGTGCTAGAATTAGGGTTCCAAAGTGTAGGGCTCCCCGGGTAACTGTTAGGGTTACAAAGGCTGGGTTCTCCAGCTAGCATAACACTTGGGATCAGAAGATCTCCCTGGCTGGGCAAGGATTAGGGTTACCAAAGGTAGGGCTCCTTGGCTTAGAGTTAGGGTTACCAAGAGCAAGGTTCCCCTGGCTCAGAGTTAGGGGTATCAAGCAAAGGGTTCTCCAGGCTAGGGTTAGCGTTACTAAAGGTAGATTTCCCTACTCTAGGATTAAGCTTGGGGTCAGTTTGGTTCCCTAGGCTAGACTTAGGGTTACTAAGGATAGGGCTCCTTGTTTTATGGCTATGCTTGGAGTCAGTAGGAATTCCCTGGGTAGAGTTAGGGTTACTAAAGATAGGGCTTCCTGGGTTCCAATGAGTAGGGTATTTGGAGCTAGGGTTAGAGTTCCTATGGGTATGGATCCCCAACCAAGGTTTATGATTCCTATTGGTAGGTACTTGGAGCTAGGGTTAGAGTTCCTATGGATAGGGCTCTATGGCCTAAGGTTAGGGTTCCTATGTGTAGGGTGCTTGGAGCTAAGGTTATGGTTCTTATGGGTATGGCACCCCAACCTAGGTTTTGGGTTGCTGTGGG